CAAGGTTAGAAACTAGAGGGTTGGGATGATATGTTAGTGAAGTTTATTATGGAAAGATAGGTATCTGGATCTGGACATATTTTGTTACAAAGTAGGGAGCATTGAGGATTTTACGAAGGATTTTGGATTGTAAGGATTGAATACGAATGGGTTTATGATTGAATACGAATGGGTTTATGATAAACTACCGCGAAACTACATGAAAATAATTGTAGGTGACGCGAACGCAAAGGTAGGAAGGGAAGAAGTTTATATTCAGACGATTGGTAAAGAAAGTTTGCACGAATATAGTAATGATAATGGGATCCGTCTGATAAACTTTGCCATCTCGAAAAACCTGGTAATTAAAAGTACGACGTTTAAACGTAAGGATATTCATAAATATACTTGGACATCGCCGGATTCGCAAACACGAAATCAAATCGATCATGTCTTGATACAACACAGCTGGCAAAGCAGTATAATCAATGTACGGTCTTATCGCGGAGCAGAATGTGGGTCGGATCATGAATTAGTAATCGCGAAACTTCGACAAAAACTTAATATAAAAAAGAGAAAAGAAAACCGTTTCGATTTTGAGAATTTTAATTTGGAAAAATTAAAAAATCCATCAATTATAAACCAATTCGAGCTAGATGTTAAGAATAGGTTTGAAGCTTTAGAGCTTCCTGACGAGGACCACGAGGATATTGACAAGTTATGGATAGAGATCAGAGATAATATTAAAGCGGTCGGTAACTCGTGTCTAGGAAAAAAGGAAAATAAGAATAACAAACCGTGGTTTGATGAAGATTGCTTAAACATGTGCGAAAAAAGGAAAGCCGCTAAATTAAAAGCTCTAAATAATCCTAGCGAAGACAATCTGGAATACTTCCGAATCTCAAAGAACGAAACGACAAAATTGCTCAAAAATAAAAAAAGGGAGTATCTTAAAAATAAAATAATCGAAATAGAAACTAATAGAATCGAAAATAACGTAAGAGACATGTACAAAGGTATAAACAGATCACGTAAATATGTAGGGCCCGTAACGTCTGGAATTAGGGATGATAATAACAATATTCTGACCGATCCGGTTGACATATTGAATAAATTTAAGGACCACTTTGACAATATTTTAAATACGGGAAATTATGATCTGTGTCCTCCTTCTGAGTACCAGAGTGCTGAACCGTTAATAGAAGGACCAAGTAAAGAGGAAGTTGAAGTAGCTATCGGAAAATTAAAATCATATAAAGCAGCGGGAATCGATAATATTCCTACTGAACTAATTAACGCATGCGGGGAAGCTGGAGTTTCTAAAATACATCGGTTGGTTGAAAAGATCTGGGTGAACGAGAAATTACCTGAAGAATGGAAAGAATCTATTCTTATTCCGATTCACAAAAAGGGTCCGAGGACGGATTGTAATAACTATCGAGGAATTTCACTCCTTCCGGTATGTTATAAAATATTCACTTCAATCTTAACCAGTCGAATCACGGAATACGCCGAGGAACTTATCGGAGACTACCAATGCGGATTTAGACGGAATCGTTCGACTATTGATCAAATATTTTCTTTACGGCAAATATTAGAGAAAAAATTGGAGTATAACGGTATTGTTCACCAGCTGTATATAGATTTTAAAAAGGCTTACGATTCTATTGACCGCCAGAAACTGTATAATATTCTAATCGAGCAGGGAATTCCAAAAAAACTAGTAAATCTAGTCAGGATGTGCTTGACGGAGACATTCAATAAAGTTAGAATCGGTAATAATTTGTCCGAAAAATTTGAGGTTCGTTCGGGCTTAAAACAGGGGGATTCTCTTTCGCCTGTCCTGTTCAATTTGGCATTAGAACATGCCATTAGGGAGGTAATGCGTACCGAGAAAGGGTTGGATCTGGGCGGGACAACATCCGTGCTGGGCTATGCTGATGATCTGGTACTGTTAAGCGAAGACGTTGAAACTATAAAACTAAATACGACAACGTTAATGAAAGCCGGTAAAGAACTAGGACTCGAAATAAACGTGGATAAAACAAAATATATGGTTAGCTGCAAAAATGGCGATACTACTGGTGATATCGATATAGATGGTAATATGTTTGAACAGGTAGATAAATTTAGGTATCTAGGTTCTACGATAACTAGAAAAAACGAAATTGAAGAAGAGATTAAAGTTAGACTGAAGGCGGGGAATGCTTGTTATTTTTCTGTGACAAAACTACTCAGTTCGCGCCTCTTGTCCCGAAACTTAAAAATTAGAATCTATAAAACAATTATCTTGCCTACAGTTCTTTATGGATGCGAAACTTGGCCGCTTACATTAAGGGATGAGCAGCGTCTTAAGGTTTTTGAAAATAAAGTATTGCGTAGAATATTCGGACCGAAGAAGGATGAGTTAACCGGAGAGTTCAGACGGTTACACAACGCCGAATTGCGTGAGCTATATCCGGGTAATATAATTGAGGTAATTTCATCGCGGCGAATCAAATGGGCTTGTAAAGTTGTTGGGCTTAGTAACGAGAGAATTCCTAAAAGGTTAATATTTGCTGTGCCGAATGGTAAGCGTCGGAGGGGTAGACCGAAGCGAAGGTGGGAAGATTGCATTAAAGCTGATCTGAAGGGACTGGGTTTGGACGGCGAACGGTGGAGGGAGGTGTGTAACAAGCGATTGGTGGTGTCGGCATCGAACCTTCGGGTTCGCTAAGCCTTATTATTATTATATTATTATTATTATTAAGGATTGAATACGAGAGGAATTCTATGGTTTAGTGGAGCCCCATAGCTCAACTCCGTAAGTCTAAATAGGGCTTATTATTGTCAAGTATATGAGTCTAGTATGAGACCCCAAGCCTATAACTATTGTATTTTATCACGACCTAAATATTATTATTATCACTAATGTTAGTGCAAAAAAAGATTATTTTTTTATTATAATAATTGCTTTTATATATAATTTATTAGTATATTTTATTTTCCTATTTAGCAGACTGCTTATAGTATAGCTGCAGATTACAAAATGTCATCTATAGGGAAAAGAGAATAAACACGTAAATACGACTTTTTGCAATAACAGTAGCGTTATTTAAATTTTCATTTATATTTCGGAATAATAATATGTATATATATATATATATATATATATATATATATATATATATATATATATATATATATATATATATATATATATATATCCTATGATTTTCTCTATTTCCAGGGGACTTTCTTATAACTTTTCTACGATAATGTAGGAAAAAATATATTTTATATAAAATCTTTTAATAGACATTTTTACATAAATAGTTAAGACTTTGAAAGTATTGTATTTTTATTTTAATGTTATGTAAACTAAGAAATCAAAAATGTTTTTAAGTTTTTTAATACTCTGTTTAGGTGGAAAAAGTTATAGAAATATACCTATGTTATGAAGGTTGTCCCCTGTTCGTTTCACAATAGGTTTTGTTTTTTACTTTCACTTACGTATATATGTAATATATAGTAAGAGTAAGTATTGCGATCGTGAAAATTTTCGAATCTCAGTTTTCAAGGAAAATACATGTTTTGAGGTACCCTGAGTCGAAAGTGTCACAAAATGGTTTGTGTGTCTATCGTAACAGTCTAGCTCATAAACGAAAAGTCGTGCGAAGCTGATATTAAATATTTAAGGTTTGTATATGGGCCGGATGTGACAGCAACTTTTTCGTTAAAATCGGCAAACCGGAAGTGCCACTTTATATTAACGCTGAAACACATTTTTACAATTTTCTCAAAAACGGCTCAAACGATTTTGAGAAAATTGTAAAAATGTGTTTCAGCGTTCATATAAAGTGGCACTTCCGGTTTGCCGATTTTAACGAAAAAGTTACTGTCATTAAGTGGTCTTTAATATCAGTTAGGTCTTATCCCCATTGATGTCACTTTACAGCGCTTAAATGCCCAATGTTCATATTCATCTTCCTTTAAAGTGCCTTTAATATGGTTTATTTTAAAAAGTTAATCATTTCGCATTATTCAGAATTACGAAAAAATGCTACATATAACTTTTGAAAGAATTTGATGAGATAATAAAGGAGAAAAAAAAATAAAAATGCAGAAAAACCTGCCTTGCTAAAGACTGTAGTGCCTAAACGAATGTACCGATTTCAATGAAACTTCGCTAAAGTCATTTTCTCGACACCCTTTAAATTTATCTATATAACATACTTCAACGAAAAGAAGCTGGAAAAAAAGTTACGAGGGATGGTAAAATTAAATTCCGTGTAACTCAAAAAGTGTAAACTTTTTGTCGATATTGTATTTTTAAATGTTTATGGAATTTCGTAAACAAACAAAAAAAAAAATCGTTAAAAACAGACAATTGGGAGGAAAGATATGGTCTCAAGTTATTTCTCCTGAAGAGGCGAATATCTGTATAAATTTAAGATGTACTTTTTTAATTATTGAGAATAAAAATAAAAAAATTTCTATACATATTTAATGAAGTATCTTACTTCAGAACATCGTTCATAAGAAATAAGTACCTAAATTTATACCTTTATTCTCAGTTCTATATTTCAACACTGCAATCACCACCTCCGGAATCAACTTACTCATTGTCTGCATAGATAACTTCTTCAACTAAAAATATCACTAAGACGACATCACTCAAAAATGTTCAAATTGGAGTTAGTCATTCTGTGGTTTATAAAAGCAAAGAAAGTTCTGTGGTTTATAAAAGATTTTTATTTCCTGTCGTCGATATATTAAATAGACATTTTATAATTATAATGGTCTTAATTAGTTGTTATATGTAAGCTTTAAACTTTAGCTCCGTTTAAAATAATTTTATAATAGCCCAACATTGCCAGAAAATAATTTCTATTCAAAGTAGATCGGTAAGTGAAAGTTGTGTGTTGCGCGCACCAGATTTTTTACACATAATATAAACTACAAGCATTTTATTTTGTCGTTGTTGGTCCATCGTCCCCTCTCCAACAATCAAAATAGAATGTCTGCGCCTATGATCTTAGGTTTTTTTTTTTTTTACAATAATATCATGTATATTTAGTATAAATCTTATACTATCACAAATCCTGTACGTTTCGACGTTATACTCCTGGCGATTATGGACAAGAAGACAGTACCCCGCAGAGAGCGTTGAATTCTCCGAGAAATGGCGGATGGGGATGAAAGTTGCAGAGAGAAGAAGGCCAGAGCCGCGGCTGACCTTGTCCCCAGTGACCCCATTTCTTCGGTCCCTTCCTCTCCGCTCCAAGGTCACTCCTCGGGAGTGCGCTCTCGAGGTTCAAAAAGAAAGGCGAAGGCTAGGCTCGAGGATTCGGTCATGCGCTGTAATTGGTAGGAGGAACTAATCCAGTCCGACATACAAGTCATTCATCATTTTAAAACAAATGACGAACCCCTTATTTGATTTTAATGCATTAAACTTCATTGAGAACTCTGACACTTGATAAATATCTTCCATGATACATTCCATAAATGAGAGATATCAACGAACATCATTATTCCTTAATACAACTTCATCCTCTCCTCCCCTTACGTAGGACAGGATTATTTGAGTCTTTTTTTTGTCTTATGCCGCGGTAATTATCATAGTTATAAACTTCTTATAGTTATTAAACTTCTTCTTAGTTATAAGGCGATCGAATCAAATTTTCGATGTACAATTTTCAAGTGATGTTTACGTTTAAGATTTATCCTTCTGTCGGTTGGAAATGTTTTTGTTTTTGGCCCATTGGCCTTGGATAATGAAGGGTTACATATTTAGGGCTAAATATAAAAAAATCCTCAATTTTTAAAAAAATCAACATTTTTGAGTGATGTCATTTTATTGATATTTTTAGTTGAAAAAGTTATCTATGCAGACAGTGAGTAAGTTGATTCCGGAGGTGGTGATAGCAGTGTTGAAATATAGAACTGAGAATAAAGTTATAAATTTATGTACTTGTTTCTTATGAAAGATGTTCTGAAGTAAGATACTTCATTAAATATGTGTAGAAAATTTTTTTTTTTATTCTCAATAATTAAAAAAGTACATCTTAAATTTATACAGATTTTCGCCTCTTCAGGAGAAATAACTTGAGACCATATCTTTCCTCCCAATTGTCCGTTTTTAACGAATTTTTTTTGTTTGTTTACGAAATTCCATAAACCTTTAAAAAACAATATCGACAAAAAGTTTCGCAGCACTATCTCTGTTTCGATCCTCAAGTTATTGACCTAATATTCTTTATATAAGTTGCTATTTTTTTTTTTTTAAATGGCAGACAAGATTCATTAGAGTTTCAACATTCTCTTGCTAGGAATACACTGTTTTACACCCAGGCTTCAGGTTATGCACCCAATCGACTTAGCGAACAAGCTCTACGGTAATCAAGGGATTTAAGAAATACTATCGAGTTTTACATACATCTTTCTTAACCTAATTATTTCAGAGAACATCGAAGAAGAATCAGAAAAGTATTTATTGAATATTTAATAGTTGACCGTTGCATTAAAAAGGAAGAAGATGGTCCAGGATGGCGGTCATAAAAAGGCTGAATAGTAGCAAAACTATTTTATTAAAAGCCAACTTTTCGACCCGACTTTGCAGGTCTTCTTCAGCGCTAGAACGGACAAGATACAAAAATATATAGAGAATTATGGAAGTTACATAATATTAAGACAAAAGATTATAAACAATGTGAATAAGCTTATAAAAATTTATAAACAGCAAGCACGTTAAAATATATACTATTTTAATAAATAAAATATAAAATATTTTAATGTACTTACTGTTTATAATTTTTATATGCTTATTCACATTGTTTATAATGTTTTGTCTAAATATTATGTAACTTCCAAAATCCTCTATATCTTTTTGTATCTTGTCCGTTCTAGCCCTTAAGACCAGAATAGTATTTATTACAGAATAGATCAGAATATCATACAATCGCTGTCTTAGTTTTAGTGAAGATCAAGGTAATGTTTGTAACTTTTTTGGAAACTAAATCCTGTTCGATCAACATGTGTGCCCCAATCAAATGTCAAGCCTATTTATTTTATTGAGTTGTTTTGCGAAACCGGTTTATTGTCTATGTATTTTGGAGGACACGTAGCTAGGCTAGGAAGATTGCAAAAACTCAAAACGTTACTTCTAAAAGATAAGGTATCTTTGAGATTGTATATAGAAATAGAAATAGAAAAATCATCTTTATTCTGGGACTAGGTCCCTTTAGAATAACAGTATTGTTCATATATATTAACTACAAATCTGGTCAAAAGACTTATTATAATGAATAATGACAAAATACATGTAATACATTAAGTATTAATTAAGCTCTTAGGATAAATTAACGGGGACAGTTGGGTAATAGGGGTTCAGTACTACAATATTGGAGCTAAAATAATTGCATAATAATCACTGAATGAAATTAGAAAGGAAAGTAAAATCTATTTTATAGGTAAAGCATTGTAGTGATGGAATATAAAAATTAAAAAAAATAATAATAACTGTTAATATGTAGGGAAAGAAATTGTAAAAACTAAAACAAAAAAATATATAAAAAAACAAATAATGATATACATATGTTCCCTAAGATATTTAAGTGATTATGCGTAAAGATTAGGAGAAGAGAAAATAAAATAAAGTATATATATACACATAGTGAGAAGTATGTTGAAGATAATTAGAAATAAAATACATTTCACTGAAATACATTCCATGAATAACAAATTAGAACTTAAGGAAAACAAATTTTATCTACTCACAATGCTTAGTGAGTGGTGATGAAAATTCACGTTCAACACAGAATAAAACAATAAAAAATATATGTATATGTATATATATATGTATATATATGTGTATACATCCATACAGAATCAGAAACGAGACCATTGGAGAAAGAATGGAAGTTAAGAATAATATAATAGGAATAATGGGAGAAAGAAGATTTATTATCAAGGAAGGAGATGGTCCGGGGTGGCGGTCATTCGTGGTTTTCTTTTTTCTTTTCTTTCTCCACATCTCTTAATGTCCATTGTTTCATATTATATCATTTTTCCTTTTCATTCAATCTCTCCTGTAGATCTGTTAAAGTTTATTCACACTAGCATAAAATATATATATATATATATATATATATATATTACACTACAACAATTGTTACCATCTATTTACTTCAGTTAAGGATCTTGTAACTTAGTAGCTTACTCTATTAATATTTTAATGTACTTACTGTTTTTAATTTAAATAAGCTTATTCACATTGTTTATAATTTTTTGTCTAAATATTATGTAACTTCCATAATTCTCTATCTTTTTGTATCTTGTCCGTTCTAGCCCTGAAGAAGATCTGCAAAATCGGGTCGAAACGTTGGCTTTTAAGAAAATAATTTTGCCACTATTTAGCCTATTTATGACCGCCACCCCGGACCATCTCCTTCCTTTATAATGCAACGGTCAACGATTAAATATTCAAGATTTATTATCACTATAGATGATAAATATTTGAAAACCATTATTTTTAACATTTTTATTGTAATAAATAAAGCTGTATTTATTAATTTCTGTTTATAATAATATATCTCCGGTAATAGGAAAAAATAAATTAAAGCTTTGCAATAATTTATCGCAGTAATTGTTGTCAAAAACACGCATGTTTTGATATGATGTCATATTAAACTATGTGTGTTTTTGTCATTATTTAAACAACTGGAGGTGAATCTCAACTTATTTCGTAATAAACTCAAAACTTAATTGACATGCACTTAATGATATTAAACAAGAAAGTTTTTCTAAAAGTGGGTTGTCTATAGTATAATATGGTGATGATAAATGAAAATCGAAAATAATTCATGATTTTATTTATATCACAACGCTCAGATAGAGTCGACTAACTGAAACGTTTTTCCATTTAGATTAAAATATCTCAGAAACTAAAAATCAGGCCTGGATACTGAATGCGAGAAAATTGTACAGCATTTCATCCTTTCTGTAATATGCTATAATTCAAAATTGTATCGTGTGTAAGGGAGGCGAAAAGGAAAAAAATAGTGTCGAAAACCAAATGATAACGAAGTTAGTACGATATATGGATTAAAATATTTCAGATACTAAAAATCGGAACTGTATACTTTAAACGAGGGAATTGTTCGTAATGTCGTCCTGTCTGAAATGAGCTATCATTTGAAATTTCATCTTAACTCGATGCCGTGTTAGAGAGGCGAAAAAAAAAGTAGTGTCGAAAACGAAATGATAATATAGCACAAATGTTAATATTATTACAACATTGATAATAGTAGAAATTCTTAGGCATAATGGAGAATATATAATAATATAACATTACATATACTTCCAACTGAAGATTTCCACATAAATATTACACACTCGATGGATACATCATAAACTATTTAATATAAGTAATTTAAATAAGTAAATTATGAATCATTAAGAACATTTTTAGATTGACCTTTGATGTGTATATTTTATGCAATAGATCTTTGTTATAAACTTTATAAATGCCTTACTAAACGATATTAAACTAATTAATCCTAACTACAATACACTTAGAATACACGGATTAATAAAATTATATAAAAGTGGCGCTCCATTTAGTCCTATCGTCAGTAATAACAATGGAGAAACTAAATTTTTTTGGCTAAATATCTCAATTTCACACTCAATAACCTAAAATCAGACAGTAACAATGTTGTAAAAAACTCAATGGAGGTGAATCAAATGTTTGAAAGAATAAACAATGATAGACAATAGGTAAATATTGTTTGATCTGTTTTGATGTAGATAATTTATTTACCAATATCAGCTGGAAAGATGTAATCAAATAATAGAAAAATACTGGGATACAATAGAACCGCATACCCAAATTAACGGGTTTTATGGAAGATATGGATTAAAATATCTTAGGAGATAAAAATCGGGCCTGCATAATGTAAGCGAGGGAAACGTTCAGCATTTGACCCTCTTTATAATGAGCTATTGTTTATAATTTATATTTAATATTATTAATCTCGGCTTGTTGCTGTTTTCAATTCTATCGTGATATCTAAAGCACACACCTTAGTTGTTTTTTTTTAAACAAAAATGAATTGTTTTACGATTTAGGATATAATATGTATAATCTATATAAATAAAATAAATATTTTGTCTGTACATTGAATAGAATCAACCCGTTTTATGATATCTTTCCGATTCATACATTGCAGACACCAAATCCACTTTTAAAAAAACTTTTTTGTCTGTCTGTATGTCCGATTGCTACGAAATTTTGTCAGGGGTAAGCTCAGCAATGGCTTATTGTAGACTTTTGAAATTTTAACATTATATTAAGGTTTGCTTGTTCTTAAAACATAAG